CAATTGGCAACCTCCCCCACAAGGAACAATCAAACTTAACTTTGTTGGCTGTTCCATGGGAAATCCTAGTCATGCCAGAGTAGGAGGAGTTTTCAGAGACCAAAACCGTAGGATTTGGTTCACCTACTCTAAATACCTTGGCATTCAACATTCTTAGCACGCCGAAGCCATGGCCATTCTTTTGGGCATCAAGAGCTTCAACCGACCATGGGGGCTAAACCTAATAGTGGAGGGAGACGCTAAAAATATAATATCATGGGTTAGAGGGACTTCCTCTCCTCCATGGTTTCTTGCTTTCATCTTTGACGAGATCGCTAATATTTGTAGGGATATAAACGTCTCATGGACGCATACATTGAGGACATCGAACGAGCTAGCCGATCTCCTGGCAAAGGACTGGGCCAGGGCTCCAGTTGAAGTCCCTTCCTTTGATTTGGACCATAGAGGGACCACCATGTAACACTATGTGGCCGGTTTGATTGCTTTAGATTAAAGACTGTTGGTGTATAAGGGCAATACTATAAGCCCATTTTTTGTAATCTCATTGTATATTCTGTATACCTTTGGACAGAAACGATCAATTTGTATAGGGTCTGTTGACCTATTTTTTATAGAGAGTCCCAGCATGGAGGAACTCTCGGTTCAAACAATCCATGTAAAACATTTATAGCAATATAGTTAACTTTATAAAAAAAAAAAAAGTGACCAGAAGAACAATCAGAGGCTAGGAAGATGAACACCTGCTTGATGGGCTTGGCAATCTCTTGGTTTGCACCTCTCTTTTGCTAGATGTCCTTGCTTTTGACAGTGTGTTGCCTATGGTGCCTAAGGCGCCATCAGTGGTTTGGACCACTTAAACATGATGAACCATATCCAAATTTCTTCTAGAGAAAATCTGAAAAAGTTTGCGACAACGATATTAAGGAACAAAGAGTTTAGATGACCTCGATATTTGGCCTAACCAATTAAAAGGAGGATGTGCCAATAAAGTTAAAACATTTTTTCTTCAGTACCATAATCCTTCGGAATTTTGTTCAGATTTTGGTGAAGCAATTAAAAAATATATATCATCCAAGCATTCAACACAAAGTAATGATTTGTTGACTCCCCAAGTTGAACCCAACTCAACTACCTTTCTCAAAGGACTTAATACCTTAGACATTGTGCTTAAAACAAAGGGGGATCCTGTTTTGCTAGGAGCTCATGACCCCACTAAAGAGGCACATGGAATAAAGGAGGCAAGGAGGACCCAACCACAAGCTTATAACTAAGGCCGGAACAATCAAGAATCACCTCAATCTTGAAGGCACAACGAATCCTAAGGAACAATATCAAAGTAGCGCAAAACGATGGGACTGTTCACTCCCTAGGTGTGTCCTCTTCCTCCTAGCCTTTCCATGTCTATCTTACCACTAACGATTTCAAAAAACGGGTAGGGGTTTGTCATCCCCCACTTAATTACACAAAAAAGTAGAGGATTTCTGGGATTAAAAATCATATTTTAAAATCATAATGTTGACATCTTTTTTTTTTTGGCTTGAAACAAAAATGCAAGCACAATCAGCCCAGATGGTGTAAAATACTTGGTTTCTACAATTCCTTCATGATTAACGGGTCAGAGGAAAATCGAGAACTGTGTTGGTTTGGTACCCCAATATTTGTACTGCTAATGTTATTGATGTTCATGATCAAGCCATTACCATAGAGGTATCCACACTCAACCTCGACTCTTCTTTTATGTAGAAACTTAACATGGGAAAGAGAGTTGTTGTGGGACTGCTTGAGACACATCAACCGTTGGGGATTTTAGTTTCATTTTGGATAGGGCTGTAAAGCACGGTGGCCAAAATGAAACCAACTTCGATTCAGAGAGTTTTGTTAAGATACTAGTAGACTGTACCCTTGTTGACTTGGGCTCCTCGAGAGGGTGGTTCTCTTGGTGGAACAATAGCTCTGGCTCCCAGTGTATTTGTGAGCGGCTTGATAGAGCCTTGGAAAATACGGATTGGTTGCTGGCTATGCAAGAAGTCAATGTCGAACTCCTTCCTAAAGGCACCTCAAACCATTCTCCCTTACTGATCTCTCCCTCCCCTACTTCGCCAACTGGCCCCAAACCTTTTAGGTATTTCACCATGTGGCAGGCTACCCCGGGCTTTATGAACCTTACCAAGGAATCGTGGCAAAGGATAGTTGGGTGCACTCCAATGTTTAGGTTTGCAGCCAAGCTCAAAAGGCTGGGTGGGGATATTTGCAAATGGAACATAACGTCCTTCCTTATAGTTGGAAAGAAGCTCAGCTTACTTCCCAATTGAAGCAACTCTTTGCTCAGGAAGAAAGCATGTGGCAGCAGAAATCAAGGGAAATTTGGCTCAAAGAGGGGGAGTCCAATACTAAATTCTTCCATCTCTCCACCATTACAAAAAGGCTGCATGATAAAATCCTCTTCCTCAACGTCTCCAATGGCACCCAAATCTCTAACCCTAAAGGCGTCGAGAGTCACATCATTTTGTATTTTGATGGTTTTAGCCCCTGAGGCACATGATAATACTCATGTGGGACCAAAGGCTGACGACTTCCTTCAGGATAGGCACCTACACAAGAACAACCTGATGCTCTAACAAACTATATCTCGTTGGAGGAAATAAGGAAGTGTGTCTGGGATATGAAAGCGGACAGTGCTCTCGAACAAGACGCGTTTGGGGTTGAATTCGACGAACTCAGTTGGGAGGTTATCAAGCAAAATCTTGAGTGTTTGACGGAGGAAAATTTCTCTAAGGCTAAACTCTACCTTCATCTGTCTGATCCCAAAGGTTTCCTGCTCCACCACCATGAAGGACTTTAGACCCATCAGCCTCTGCAGTGTCCTTTACCAAATTATTAGCAAGATTGCCGCCAACAGATTGATGATGGTTCTTGATGGCCTCATACACCAATGCCAGGTCGCGTTCCTTGAAGGGAGGCTTATCACTGACAATGTCTTGTTCGCCAACGAGCTCATATCCTTATGCCATTAAAACTCAGTTAGACTCAAGATTTTCCTTCAGTTGGATCTTAGTAGTGTCTATGATAGGATTTCATTGCATTTCATCTCTGACAAACTTCAGGCTATGGGTTTTCCAACAACTTTTATCACCTTGGTTCAGCACTGCATCTCCACCCCTGATTTCTCTATCCTGCACAATGGATCCCCCGTGGGCTATTTTTAAGGGCAAGAGAGGCCTTAAACAAGGTGACTTTCTTCTCCTTATCTCTTCCTCCTGGTTATGGATTACCTCAATAGAATGATTGATGCTGGAGTGGCTGATAAATCCCTCCCCCATACTTTTTCCTTGGGGTGTAACTATTGGGTCAACCATTTCCTCTATGTTGATGATGATGTCATTTTCTGTGAGGCTTCTGTCCCGGCCACTCATGTCACCATGAACATTCTTGCAGCCTTTTGTGCAGTAACATGTCAAAAATTTAGTTGCAAGAAAAGCAAGGTTATTCTTTTTGGGGCCCAATTGTTGACATTCTTCAGTTTGGCATCTGTGATCTTCTCGTAAGGTGCCTTGGTCTCCCCATGTTCCACAACCCTTTGAGACACCCACATTGCCACCCCTTCATCAGGAAGACGATTGGTCATATTGGCTCTTGACAAGCTTTATCTTTACCTTTGCAGGGCGACTCTAGCTGCTTTGATCTGTCCTCAGCGCTTCATCTGTATACTGGCTGCTCTCCTTCTCTCCTCAACCAGATTGAGAGGATCTAGCGCAATTTCTTCTTATGGGCTGGCTCCGCAGATAATAAGGGCCTACATTTGGTTGGATGGGACACCATTTGCTAGAAGCATGAGGTAGGAGGCCCTCGGATCTACTGTATCCATGAATTCAATATAGTCGGTATGATGAAGTTAGCCTAGATAATCATCTCTCACCCTTCCTCACTCTTGTCCTAATTCGTCAAGCATATATTTCGCCATTCCTCGGTCTGGTATACCAGGAGTTGCTCGCATGAATGGAGGGGCATAACCTTGGGACTAAACCGATCAAATGGTTAATGTCGTCAGCCTTTCTAAACTAAATTAGGTATGTTTCTCATTTACTCTACTGTTACACAAAACCTCCACTGCCTGCGCATGCGCGCGAGTCAAGCAACGAAAGAATTACGTTGCTTAGTCAGAAAGCCATGCATGGCACTAAAAAAGAACACAAATAAGCAGGTTGAAAGACATTCAGAAGGTAATAAAGGTCTTTGTTGGTTTCTTTGAGTAAGATAGGTTCTTTGTTTGTATCACCGAGACACTCGAGGGGCCGGCCACTATATGAAACGCATAGGATTTTTTGTCTCGGTTTCAAATTGTCAACATTCAAACAAACGAAATCATGAATTGCATATAGAAACAAAACGAACCACTTCTATTCTCGGAGCTGAGGTTTAAAGAAGAATGGCTCATTCCCGGTCGGCGGTATCATTGCTTAGTGATCGCTCACAATAGTTAGTTGGTGATGGTAGGCTCATTGACTTGTAAGCAGATCTTTGGTTATATGAGATCTCTTTATGGAAAACATATGGGCATGATGCGCATAGGGTCCTTGGGGATCAGGCTAGGCTTAAGGTCTCTGACTAAATTGAGGAAATCCCCAGCGTTGATCCCTCCCTACCCCTACCTTTGGCCTGCTCCTTCGTGCTTGGGAGGAGGTGCATTCTCATGTTCTCCCTATCCATCGCTACCGAGACCAGTTGGTCTGGATTTATTCAATGAGTTGCTCCTCCTCCATGGCCAATGCCTGGGAACACATCACATCAGACATACTACACCGATCCTGCGAGCTTTCAGGTCCCTCTGGGAGACCCCTTCTCACACTAGAGGGAAGCAGTTTACTTGGCTTTCCTTGCATTCTCGGCTCCCTACCATGGGATTGCTTCAGTCTAGAGGCCTTCCCTTGGTCACCAAATGCCCCTTTTTTCCTCTAAGAGGAGGAGTCCACTAACCACATTATTATCCCGTCTTTTTGCAGGTGCTTTGGAAGTCCATTCTGTGCAGGTTCGGATGCTCATACTGCTTGAGCAGTCAGTCACCTTCATGATAGCTAAGTAGCTGAAGTTCAGGTTCAAATCCAGTGGCATGAACCTTTCAAAAAAAAATAAAAATCCAGTGGCATGAAGAATGTATGGTGCTCCATCTCCATGACTGTCTGGTTCTTGTGGATAGAGAGGAATGCCCGTGTCCATGAGGGCAAGAGGACTCCAGGGAGCGTCTTCTGAGGCGCATCACTCTCTTTGTTGGCCGGCTTGCAGAGGGAAAAGCTTGGGCTTTGGCCTTCCATCCTTTGAAACATCACATCATCACCAACCTCAAGCTGAAGGTTCCCACAATCCCCCCTTCCACCACTCTTCAGATTGCTTGGTCTCCTTATGTGGGCTTCTTCAAGCTCAACATTGATGGCTCGTTCCTTCGTAGCCAGGTCGATGCGGGGTGTGGAGGAATCATCAAGAACGTCACTGGAGGCTTCGTTGTGGCTTTTGCTGACCTTCTTGGCTCCACAACTAACAATGTCGTTGAGTTTCACGCATTAGAACGGAGCATCTCCTTGGCACAGGATCTGGGCTGTAAGCCACTGATTATTGAGAGCGACTCAAAGCTGCTTGTCAACTCACTTTCCCTTCAGAGCACACCCCCATGGAGACTTCACTTCAGCCTTTACAATTGCAGGGCAAAGCTCTCACTCCTTCGCCAACCACCAATGGTAGATCACACAATAAGGAGGCGAACACAGTTGTAGTGCAAGCTACAGTTTGGCAGGCATTCCCCAGGCTTTTTTACTACCCTCGTGTTCTTGGATTCTGTCGGCACTCCCTATGAGAGGGTTGTATCTTGATTGTACTTGTAACTCACTTTCTATAATCTTCTTTTATGTATATTAATAAAACAAAATAGGCAGGGGCTTGTCATCCCCCACTGATTTTCCCAAAAAAAAAAAACACAAAGCAATGATTGGATCTCTTGTGTAACATATGGATGTCAAGTAGTGGTGCTGCTATGTTGAGACTAGGACCAGGATAGGGAGCGTGGAATTGTCATAGGGTAGAAGCTTCCTATGGTCAGGATCGTTGTCCTTATAGACTAAATTTTAGTGATCTCGATCCCAACCAGTTGGGGAGCTAGATCCCAACCTTGTGGGATCACATGTTAAATTCGAGGGAAATTATCATACTGATTCTCCTACGTTCTATCGTACGGGGATTGGAGATTGCAATCATACTGATTCACTTCCGATAAGTTCTGTTGTACAGGGATCCGTTTGAAAGGACTTTAGTGTTTACTGTATAGGTTCTGATACGAGGGATCCATTTAGGTTTTGATACATGAAAAATGCAATTACTTAAAAGTGTTTAGGTGAAATATAAAAGAAATGCAATCTAGGTTGAGAAATTTAGGTCACAGGCTTTGAACTTAACTTTGATTTCTCGGGTCCTTGGATGAAACTGGAACTTAAGGGACACAATGGAGGAAACTATAGAGATCTTTTGTTCTTTGATCTTGTTTTGAGATATTAGAGATTATTTGAGCTCGGATTATTTGCTTTCCTGAAGGTTAGCTGCACCAAATATATGAAGGGTTTTGTCTTTCTTATTGGATCTTTTTGTGTGGCTACTGAATGTGAATGTAACAGTTGTAAGTTGACATCTGTGTCAGAAAGGCAGCAAGACATTGATCGTTTGTTGATTATTTGAGTTCATGTACCTCAGAGGCCAGGTAGTGAAGCATTAGCATTTCTGCTAGCTTACAATTACTTGTTAGTTCTTATCTTTGAGAATCATCTGTATTTTAATAATGCCATGATGCTTAGATTTTAGAAATGGCATGTGAGGTGTGTTTGAAAAGCTAGGGATGAAGCAATTGTTGTAAATTGAATTTTATTGAGCCTAAAGAATTGTGCAGTTGTCCAGAAATTCATATAAAACTGTCCATTAAAATTTTATCTGAGGCTTTGCCTAGTTCAACCCTTGAAGGATCATATTAGACGCCATAAACAAGGTCAAACTGGATAATATAGTATTAAAAAAAAAAAATAGTGTAGTTTGACCCTTTAAGGATCGAACAACTTGGTAAGTTTAGAGAAAAATGGCCGGGGGGGGGAAAGGGGGGGGGGGGGGGGGGTGGAACCTCTAGTACCACTACAAGGTCGAACTGCTCCTTGAGACACCACATGAAAATTATATAAGTCACAATTTTGTTAATAAGTAAAACATGATGAAAAAGGGTCCTCATTGTAAAATTGATCTATTTTGGGACCTTTGTTCTGATATAAAAGAAAAAAGAGGATTCGTACGGTAATTTCCCTGAATTATAGAGGTCCAAGACCCATATAGTAAAAGTGTCTCTATTCCCTTTGAAAATGTATAGAGCATCGTTTTGCAATGTAAGTACTTTCTTTTTGTAATTGATATGCATTTTATGACTTGTTTCCCTGTAAAAGATGAATCTAACATGAGCATGATTTATATCAACCGATCCCTAAGGGATTGGGATCCTGTTCCCCTATATGGGAGCAAGATCTACCGAAGGTCCAGCTCTTGGTGCGTGGAATCGCCACTGAGTTGGGAGATACCAATCTATGATCTGATATGTATTTTTTTCTCTCTTTTTTTTTGTGGGGGGGGGGGGGATATGGTGGCGGCATGGGGTGCGGGGTTAAGTGCGGGAACGGGGCAGCTAGGCACTAATTTTCTAATCATTACTACTTAATTTAGATTTATCCCTAGATAGCACAAATGGATTCAGATTTTAGTTGGTAGATTTTTTTTCACTATCATGAATTGCGTATATTGTTCGCTATCTCTTGTTATTGCTTCTGCATGTTTTCCTTAAGGTAACTGATTGGACTGCCCATATTGATTTACCATTTCTTTCTGCCGTCTTATATTTTGTGCTGTCATAAAAGATGAACTTGTAAAGACAGCATTAAATGAGTTGTTTGTTCCAAGCTTGATTATGTTAGTATGCAAGATTAAGATATTCCAATGATTGGTCGGTCCTACCTTCTAAGGCATGCTCCAGAAAACTTTACAAGAAAACAATATATTGTTTGATTAGAATAGATGTAGGAGCTTTTATCTCCTAGAGAAACATTCATACTTATGGCTTTAATTCGATTGGTCCCTACATCGAGGATCTCTAAAATCTGTGTAGAACGTTCATCTTGTTACCATCTGAAGAACTAGATCATTTTTCTAATTTCTTCTGCTATTTTATTAGGAAAATATAGTCAAGTGATGCATGTCTTGAAGTAGTGCTTTAATACAGTCTGATGTTACTGTGTCCGTGTGAATAATTAGGGCCAAGGGATGTTCAGTCACTCAAGGCCTTTGTCTTAGATGAAGCAGAGAAGGCGGCCAGAGGACAGCTTGATGGAGATGACGCTTCTCTATAAGATGGAAGGGGCACCACAGCTAGAGGGGAAATTTGATGGAAATGAATTTATCAGAAAAAAAACAGAAAAATAAATTCATAGAGATTAGTCTTCACAACATTGAGAGGTTGACATGTAATGGAACCTCGTAATGCACTGGATTTAATCCCTCACTTGGATGTGCTGCGTCTATTTTTTTCAATTTCTTGATATACGTCTTAACCAGGTTCCACCAGGGGTCTTACTCTTCTGTTCTCAGTTGCATATGCAATTACTGCTGATATAAGGATATTTCATTCTTTTGTTCAGAGAAAAAGTTTGCGGTAGCAAATTAATGAGTTTGGTAAGTCAAACACACCCTGAAACAGTGAGAATGATATTTCTTCTCTTTGGCTAGGGAGCCTAGGTTTTGCCATGGTCGCACCAGAGTGTTTCTTCTTCAGAGTTTAGTTTTTTTTTTTTCCATGTAAAAGAAACTATTGTCAGTGGCATTTTGGTATATTCAGGGGGACTTTTATCTTATATCTCTTGCCCACATAGGACTTCTTCAATCGTTGGAACTTGATTAATGTTGTCACCACCTATTGTCAGAAAAGATGCAATCACAGGTTAGTCTTTTCTTGTGCAGGTCATAGGCGTGTGTAGATTATACCTGCAGTAGAGCACTGCACACTATTGCCTTTGCTACTACACAATTTTTCCTTGGGCAAAAGATAACTTATATGGATTTTCTCGATCTGAAATTTTACATTCCACGAATAGTAATAACTCAATTTGAGTTTCTGAGAACTTAGATCTAGTTGTCTGAATATTGGATGGTCTATGTCCAATTTCAAGATATCATTTGCATCAGGCACATATAGTGTGTTAAGAAATAACATTTTTTTGGTTGGTCGGCATGCCATGCTGAGGAGCTTACATTAACAAAGTATGCGATCTTAAAAATACCGCTGAATAGAGTTTGGCGGGAGGCATTGAATGTCCGACATGCTCCCAAGGGAGCATATGGTCTTTCTGCTTCTTGTTTTCCTCATCAATTGATGAAAGGGGAGAAACAGGTCTTGAATTATTCACCATCGGTGTTTGATATCTGGCTATGTTGTTTGCTCATTGGGTTGTTTCTACGTCGAAGTGAAAGGTAAGGGAGGGATGTTCTACTTGTACATTTTCCCATAATGTGTTGTCACGTTTAATGTGTTATCCCATGGCAGCACAGTTGGGGCACCTTTGGTACAAGTGAAAATATTTTTTTGAAAGTATTTTTACGTAAAAAAATCCCTCATTCGATTTGGTGTGGGAGTATTTTCACACCAATCAATTATGATGTTTTTTTTCACACCAATTGACAGTCAATTGATGTGAAAAAACTCACGTTTAATCATATGAGGGAATTTTTTCAAGTGAAAGCAAGTATTTTCACGTCTATTAAATGTATCCTTAGTCCGAAGTATGTATACTTGATTAGTCGATGTGGAGATCATGATATGGCACTAGAGTTTTGATCGCATTCTATTCAATGCTAAGGTACTAAGAGCGAAGGCAGACGTAATTTCGCCTTACCATAAGCTTTCTAGCATTGTCGATTAGAAGTTAGTGAAGGTACACTTGGCATCGAAAGAAAAAGAAATCAATCTTCTATAGACCTCTCGTAGCCATGCTAAGATGAGAATTAAGCAAGGGGAAATATTTCTAGGACGTTTGGAGACACCAAATTTGGGATTCTAGGACCACAAGGGGAGATTCACAGGCTTAGAAGCCACAGAAGAGAGGAGCATTTCCATAGAATAGTGAACAATGATGGAATAGAAGAAACCAACTTGATCCCATCTCAAAATGAACACTTCTTCCTCAAAATTGTTAATAAGGTGATTAGAGAGCAGGAGAGCAACAATAATGTCCTAAAAGCAAATGGAAAACCCTAGTTCACCTTAGGCCACTTCATTTGCTTGGTTGTTATACTAAACAATGCTCACTCCAAATATGGGGGGACTTCAAATGGAAAACAAGAGCTACTTGCACAGAACAGAAAAGGAGAGCCATGACCACTTACCACTTCTTGCACCTTTGTCCGTGTTGTGGAGTACACCAACAATCATCAGCCTCAACACCTAATAGCACATTGTTCCCAAAGAAACTCTCAAATCGCTTGGAGTTTCGCCAGAGCGAAAAGCCCAACAAGTTCCTGGACAAATTTTGGAATGTTTCTCTTGGTGGATGTATGAACTATATACTCCCTTGGTGTGCACTTTTTAAACAATTTTTATATACTCCCTTGGTGTGCACTTTTTAAACAATTTTTTTAAAAGAAGGCAAAATTACCACCAGGTGGGAGTGCAGGTCCACTTTTACAACTCAAAATAAATAAGAAAGCACCCTATCATAGTCCCATAGGCAATTACCTAAGGAAGCATGACACATAAGACATACAAAATTCTGCACCATAAAATTTCATTGCACAACAGGCACTTCCAAATTACATCAAAACACAATTCAATCGCTTTCCTTCACTTTACAGGACTCGTTACATCTCAATTACAAAAGAATCAAACATAGGAAGCCAAATATAGAACTCTAAGTGCTCAAGATCCCCTCGAGGCTAATACACCCCAAGTAAGATCTCCAACCACCTCGATAGCCCAAGGATCAGGATTCATCAAATATGGAAAGCCAAACCAATGAAGCAATCTTACACAATAATGTTTCATTCTAGAATGGTTCGATCAGTGACAATACAAATGGCGAAGGGAATCTTGCATGAGCATGCCGTAGGTGACCAGTTGGTGCATCACATTAACACTGCATGAAAGGGCCTTTATGCTTATGGGGTAAGCTATCAAATTAACTATAAAATCCATGGAAATCAACTTCTACCCTGCTGTAACTGAGACTTAATCACAGATTATAGCAAGGTTATGGATGCCAAAAACTCACTGGTAGATGCATGGAGCATAGACATGAAAGGCTTATAGCATAGTAGGGACTGATATGGCACGATGAGGACTTGGAAATTGATCGTAATTCTCATGAAACTCAAAGATTACCTTCGTGCAACCCATCTTATGACACTAATTACAGAAAGATAATGGAGGCCTATGGCTTCCAAAGCAATGGCGTGGAGTATAGATGCATAGGGTAGACTCTATTCTATGGTGTGGAGCATAGAAAGACATGATGTAGTCTGTAAAATTCAGCCTCAATGATAAAATAGGTGAGAATACCATAAAACTAAATTGGAGTTAGTAATGAAATTAGAGCAGCATGAATGCTCCATGAAGCTCCATTAGTGCTGGAAGAAAGCTTGGATGAAGATGGACTCCACATGATTTGAAGGTGGAGATGGAATCATGGTATGAGGGGGAATTTTTTCATATAAGGACCATGAGCTATGGGAGCCATCCCTTAACTCTCTAAATAGCATGCCCCACTCACTAGAATTTCTCTCTCTTGAAATGGGCAGTAGGTCGATAGGCTAGAGTTGGATGCTCAAATGAGAGAGTGAACCCCCCTGTTTATAGTACCGGGAGAGTAGTGCATAGAAGCTTTTCTTGTGAGTCGGATGAGAGTCCTCGATTCTCGGAAAGGATTTGATCTAAGCCCTCCATTCTTATCTAGCTATCATAGATCAAGGGCCAGATATTAGCACATATTTCGAACTCAAATTTCCCTTTAAAAAACCAAATTGAATTTTCCCACCAAAGTGCAACTTAATCTTGAAAATTCAATTTTAAATCAAATTCAAATTTGAGTAGATTGATGAAGAGGGAATGACGAAGAGAAGATTCACTCTCTCTTTTATGTGAGTCACAAGTGGCGTGAAATTTGGATTTTCATTTTCCCCGGTTTCAATTGAAATTCGAAACTCTATGCCACTTCTATAAAACATTGGCGCAGGTGTTGTTCTTTGTGCAAATGTTGCCCATGTAATTAAATAAAATAAGTTAACATAATCAATAGATGCCAAAATTTACATGCTTTGTCCATCAAAGTCAACCAGCAAAATTTCAGGATCTTGATGGATTATTGGTGCACCCAAAGGACAAGTCAAAATATATACATGTGAATGTAATCACATTACACAAGCCATGGTTTGGGAGTCCTCTCTTAATACATGTGAAAATCTCAAATCTGTTAGATCACCTAGAAAGAATGGCTTTTTATATATCCGGTTATTAGATGCACATATCATAGGTTGGCCATAAATAAATCGAGACTTTGGCCCTTGCCTTCGCAAGCTACCTACATACGCAATATACCCTTTCTCCCAGCTTATAAAATCTTCGGAATATTTCTCTCTCGATTTTCTTATGGGAGCCCTTGCTTACTAAGATTAGCATTCAGATTTTGGTTTTAGGCTAACACCAATGTCGACTACGGGATAACCCCCAACCCTCATATTTTTCCACTTAAGCCTACGAATGAAAACCGTGGTTAGATTTTTGTGACTCAAGGCATAACTTCTGGGTCACAGACTACCTTTATCCTGTGAGTCATTGGGTACCCACAGGGTACAGCACTCCCATCATTTTGTTGCGATGGTGTTACAAATTACCTACATTTAAAATTTTCATTTTTGTTGAGCAGTATTTTTGCCACAAAAAAAAGCATTTTAAAAAGCCCACAAAAGTGCATATTTTGATAGAAAATATAAAAATATATAGAGAAGTTTGGAGATAGAAATTAAGGTATTTTGCATAAACTCTAACACGCCTTTTATTGGGCCGATTTTTCATTGGCATTTCTTTACGGCGATAGTCTTGATCGAAAATGATGAAAAGATGAGTCGATTGATGGTGGTTAGGGCTGTTAATAAACAGGGCCGGGCATCGGGCTTATGGGCTGGATGTGGTTCCATGCCATTTCTAGGCATCTTAAGGAGCTTCAGGCAAGGCTAGGCAGGGCCACAAACCATAGCAATATTCATCAGGCTGAACTGGAAAAGCCCTTTTTGTCAAGCCGGGTGGGCTGGCTTTGCCAGCCTAAAAATGACTCGGCCAGGCCCAATAAG